TAAGTACATGATCACTCAAGCTTACATTAATTTGCATGATCCAAATGAAAAAAGTTGCCCTCATTTAAATTGCATTTTCCCTGTGGTGCAACCAAAACCATGAATTAGTTTAAGCCGATAATCGCTGACAGGATGTTGTATTTGAGTTGGTTTGAGTTACAAAACGGTCAATATTGTCGTTCCAGGTTATATTTATACTAAAAAAATGTTAAATCTGTAATAGGCTCAGCTTTATTGCATTGAACGACGCGGCTTATGGTCTTTCCGAGGAACGCTTAGCCTGTCCCAAGCGTTCAGATAGTCGAGAGCGGTGCGGAGTAAAGAAAGCGATGAAAAGTATAGGGGGACTGGGGTTCCCCCTCTCACCTCTCCTCCTCCCTCGCTTTTATTTTCTCGCGCTCTTTTTTACTTCGCACCGCTCCTCACTATCTGAACGCCTGGAACAGCCTAAGGAACGTTGATTTCAGTCGATGACAAGTCATGATCACGAAATCCTTATCTAACATCCACCGGAACGCGAAACCTATCCGTAACTGGAACTCGGCTGCGGCTCCGAAAAAACCTAAATAAAATAAATCCCGCGATAGTACGAATCCCATCCCAGTTTTACTGCTGTCATTAGAGTCTCAAACAGTTGTTTTCCAGCTTTTCGTCTTTCACTTAAGAAAGTTTAAGAAGTTCATATCCACAATCACGTGCCAACATTCAACCTGACATTGGCTGAACATGGCTATCCTGAACATCGCTCGTATGCGACTGAATATAGAAATACCCACGTCGTATCGCTTGAATTCTGCTCCCGCCATTGTTCTTCACGGAGTAAGTTCTCAGTTTAGTTGGAAAATTTAAGATTTGGCGCCCATGTTGGCATGTGGCTGTGGAATAAAACTCTTTATTATTATTATTATTATTATTATTATTATTATGAACTTCTTAAACTTTCTTGGGTGAAAGTCGATAAGCTGGAAAACAACTCTTTGAGACTCTAAAATAAAAGCTGGGATGGGATTCATACTCTCGCGGGATTAAATTATTTTATTTAGGTTTGTTCGGAGCCGCAGCCGTGTTGCGGTAACAATAGGTTTCGCGTTCCGGTCGACGTTAGAAAGCATTTCACGACGTGTTGATACTAAATAGGAGGGGAACATTGTGGGGTACCCAATACCGAAATACCGTGAGAAAAATGGCAAATACCGAAATACCGCGTCGAAAATCGTCCATATACCGATACCGCATATTTTAATCACATTTGTTAATTATCCCTAGTATTTATTCACCAGATGTCCATGCTTTTTTTTATATATTTTGGTAGATCGCAAAATTTTCGCAAATTCTCACTGAAAAGTAGACTACATTCGTTCAACCTTTTGGTAGGTCGACCCAACAACTAATTAACTCCAATAAGAATAACTCTTGAAAGCGCGAAAACAAAAACAAAAAACAAACCAGCCAAAACCCTTTTCACGAACGTCTAGTGCGGGTTTTGATAAGTGTAGCCTGCAGAGCAGGTGTATTTTGGGCGGGCGAAAGCTGCCTGTTTATGTTCGTACTGTGGTAACCGCCATCTTTGTTATGACGGAGGAGGATTAGAGAGAGTAAAAAAAGTAACCCCAAGGGTAGGTGCTAGGGAGAAAGAAGGAAAGAGGGGATGCCCATTTCTCCCCTCTTTTAGCCTGCGAGCAAGCTCTCCTATTTGGGCGAGTGAAACGAGTCTCGCGAGAACGCGCGAGCGAGCGGCGAAGCCGCGAGGGGCAGAGGAAAGGCCCCTCGCTTCGCTCGCCCAAATAGGAGAGCTTGCTCGCAGGCTACCCCTCTTTTCGAGTTTCAACATGCGCTTTCGCCAGCAAAACATTCGCGCGCCCGAAGAAAACGCCTGCACTGCAGGTTATGATAAGTGAGTCTAGTCTAGCACGTCAGTAGCCTGCGAAAACATCCTTTTCTCCTCGCTCTTCGTCGCTGAGGACGTTTCGCGCGGAGGAAACGTCCTCAGCGACGAAGAGCGAGGAGAAACGGATGTTTTCGCAGGCTAGCTCGTCAGTACGTCAGGGGTCAACTATCTCGACTGTCTAACACGCCGCGCTGGTAAGAGGCAAAATTTTCTCTCTTAACTTTGCAAGGCGTTTTTCAATTGTTATTCTTCTTGCGATAATGTTGGCCTCCTTCGCCTTCTTCATTAAAAATTTCCACACAGTCAATGAGCAACACGGCCTGAGACTCAAATTACTCACACTTGGGGTGGGAGACAGTCTCTTGCTCCCGTTGTTTTCCTATTGTGTCGACTATAGTGTCGCTATCTGTCAACGGTAACGCGGAGTTCAGGCCGAGCCTCAGTCGAAGGCTTCAGACGAGAAAGGTTCCAGTCATTTGCAACCTTTGATTCGCTGTCGGTGTAAAGGAGTCTTGAAGCAAGATAACGAATGGAAAGAAGAACTATCGTGTGTTACCTAGGCGGAATTTGGAGGCGATTGGAGCAGTTGGAGCGAATTTACGGCCGTTTTCCTTCGGTGGATCAGTCGAGCCACTTCGCTGGAGTGCCGGGCCTTGGTAAACCTTTACATAGAGAGAAAACCGTTTACATTAAAACCCATAAAACGGCTATAAATCGGTCCGTGGACCACACAAGAGAGACGTAACACACATTTTAAGTAAGGTAAGCGGTTTTTATTGAAATCCTTTCATTTTCGTAGGTTACGGAAACGATAGGTTTTCTTCCCATACAAATCCTTATATTTTAAATGTTACGCAACATTTCGAGCTTGGGCTACCTGTGCTGTGAGCAGGGAATAAGTCAGCACAGAATTTGATTGTGGGCGAATTTCTGTAATCGCCCATCGTTCTGCTAGTGAGAAGTTAGCCGTTATTCAGATCACTTGTCTTGCTTGTTTGGGGCTGAGTCTTATTCCGGTCAAAGAGAGAGAAAGAGTGTCTGGCAAGGTTTCCAATATAAATCAAAGATTTGTGATCTCATGTCTGGCAAACCCTCCAAGTAGTTATATATACACAGTTAAACGCACCTTATAACCTCATCTGCGCTTAACGAGTGTCTTTTGGTCCATAACTTTCAAAACAACTGCTCCACAGAGTATCGAAGTATGACTGCACTATAAATGTCACAAAATCTACCTGAGCGGTCTCTTCGGGATTTTCTGTCTTTACGTCGTCCTAACCATTTCGTACTTGCGGGCGCAAACAATAGAAACGTCATCATTACCTACCGATTCCTCGCGGCCCCTGTTCGAGCAAATCGAGATTTTTTCTAGTATACTGACTGTTTATTTGAACTGTAAGTATTGTCCTTAATATACGCGCGAGTTACTAGGGTGCCTCCTCGGGATTTCTGGGCGAAAGCCCTGCGGGGGCAAATATACGCGCGAGTTACTAGAGTGCCTCCTCGGGATTTCGCCTTCTGGGCGAAATCCCTGCGGGGGCAATTAACTTTTAGCGACCTTTATGTCCTACTGTGTTTTGTTTTGCGTATTGTATCGAAAGGAAAGCGCAAATAAACGGTACCGTAATACGGTGAACAATCATATTTCACCGAATACCGTCAGCCAAAATGATGAAAAACCGCATACCGCAGAGGTAGATGATAACGCAATACCGCACGTTAAAATTAAAATTACCGAAATACCACAAGAAAAAAAGCCCAATACCACAATACAGTAAACCCCCATGTCCCCCTCCATCGACCGAAATCAGCGTTCCTCGGAAAGACCATAAGCCGCGTCATTCAATGCAATACAGCTGAGTCTATTACAGATTTAACATTTTTTAGTAATGTAAACTGGAAACGACAATATTGACCGTTTTGTAACTCAAACTAACCCAAATACAACATCCTCGCTGCGATCGATCAAGGGAGCGGAAGTCGAGGGGATATGTGTATCCCCGTACGCATATCCCTAGTGATATGTGTATCCCTCCAATATGGCTGCCAGTGAAATGTGTATCCCCTACCCCCCACCCCTCCAAACAAGTGTCGGTTTTATTTCTGTTGTTTTTGTGAATTTTGCGAATCATCGTCAAAGGGACTACAAGTGATTCAAGATTACGAGCAACACAATCGAAAAAAGAGCAACGATTCGATACAAAATAATCGCAAAGCTGTCTCTGGCGAGTTTACTTCTTCGTGGGCTGCAATGTTGATGTAAACATTCGTTCTCGCTCGTCTCCTTATCCAACGTGATTATAATTCATATGTCACTATAGCTAGTCGCGTTAAATAAGTATGACTGACTAAATTTCATTAAGCAAGGGATAACTCGAAAAGCCAAAGAATAGAGAGGGGATACACATGTCTCTGAGCCTAGTCAGTGATATGTGTATCCCTTCTGCGAGCGCCACAATATTTCACCTTTGCATGTTGTTTGATTCCTGTCTTAACCCTAGTTGTGTTACTAGTTATGTTAGATGATATCGACGACATTTCCTTTAGCAAGAGAAGATATTTCCTTATTGTGTCGTGGATGAGCGTCAGTGTTTATTGTATCCCCACCCGGGGATATATCATTAGGGATATGTGTATGGGGATACACATATCACTAGGGATATGTGTATGGGGATACACATATCACGGGGATACACATATCACTGTGACAGCGGAAGTCGAGGGGATCTGATTTCGGTCAACTGAAACCTGTTTTCACTCGTTAATTTGCGCAACTTGTATTGAAAGGAAGTTTTTATTTCAGCTTAAGAAAGACCATAAGCCGCGTCGTTCAATGCAATACGGCTGAGTCTATTACAGATTTAACATTTTTTTGGTAACATAAACTGGAAACGACAATATTGACCGTTTTGTAACTCAAACTAACTCAAATACAACATCCTCGCTGCGATCGATCAAGGGAGCGGAAGTCGAGGGGATCTGATTTCAGTCAACTGACACCTGTTTTCACTCGTTAATTTGCTCAACTTGTATTGAAAGGAAGTTTTTATTTCAGCTTAAGATCGCTTTAAATACGGGAGTGTAACTTCTTAACTTCTAAGAACTGCACAAACACGACGTCTAAGTGCACGGACTCTAGCGGCGGACAGCAATGGTACCAAAGGACTTCCTGACGTTTATTACAGTCTACTCAGTAGTCTTTGCTAGTTCAGAACTCTTAGGTCATCAATCAACATGTCATTTTCAAATAATTCATTGTTCCTGCAAAGAAATGTACGGTGTAGATTTGATCGTGACTGTGGAAAAGTGTGTTTACGATTTGAAAGAAGGAGATGCAAAATCTGTTTGCAGCAGCGAGACGGTCATGGAGAAATGTAGGAAAGGTGGTGAGCTTTCAAAATTTTTGTTTGTTGAAGGTGGGCTTCATTTTCCTCTAATTTGCCGTTTATACGGACACCGAGGAGGCCATAGAATGTGTCCGTAATAACGGTTTGTCTGTACGAAGCATATGGACAGCTCGCTCTTTGGTCAGCAGGGCTACCAAAAAGCCCAGGGATCAATTTTTGGTCACACTCATACAATCACACACTTTCGCGGCACTGATATAAAGACCATCCACAACCACGCATAATCTTCTCACGTTTAACATAGGCGAAATATCATCGAATAACTCGGAAAAACTCAGCCTATTGCAAAAATAAACACCTCTGGACTTTTCTCTTACACTCGTCTTATTCATGTTCCCGGATGTAGAGTCACACGGTCGGCGGATCACCATAGCCTTGTTTTCACACCAGAAAGTCTTGGCCCGGGTCAAAGTTCACTGGCAAGTTTGCTCTCATCTAATTCATTTGACTCATAAGAGCCTGTTCCTGAGGCCAAAGACTTAGTGGTCACCTTAGAAAAGCGAACAATACCGTACCTTTCTGTCTCAGCCCGGATCAGGGTGATTGATCCGTTTAGCAAAATGAAACAAGAATATAATACGATATTGGACGATGCAGACTCTGCGAATCGTAATAACTTTGTCCCATCTCAGAGCTTTACATGATGTTCTCCGGGTAGTTTTCTTAAGGTGACCAATATATAAAACTAAACTGCTAACCGGCAACGAAACCAGCTTTAGCCGCGAGCTGATTTCAAATAACTGTCACTTGTGTTAAAGAAACAATTGTGGGTAGGGAAAAAAAAGTCGGGAGGTGGGGGGAGGAAGAGAGTAATTCTGTCTACATCCACTTCTACACAGATCCCTAACCACAAAACAAGCGAAAAAAAACACATAAGCAAGCAACACAGTAATCATATGTCAAGCTATTAGACAGGGGAAGTTGAGAAAAATTACAAAATGTTTGCTAACCCGGTTTCATAACTCCGGATAGATATATGTTGAGTAAATGACAATCAAAATATTGACCAGCATGAACATTATTGTGGATGATTTTTATGGATTTAATTGAATGAAAAGAAGTCGTTCAAAATTTCAAGCAATAAACTTTTGGAAGGATTCAAAGAGAAATCCTATTGTTGACGAGTGAAAGTTCTGTTTGTCCACGTTCAAGATGAATAGGAACTCCTTCGTGTTACTCTTGATAGTAAAGCTTAAAGTTTAAGAGTTAGATTCGTAAAAACTGATGCAGGTGGCTATTTTCTATCAAATGAAGAAAATGTTGCCTTTAAGATGGGGATAAAATGGGAGATTCCAGAAAATATCCATACCATACTTCGGACAGCTTCCATATTTTAACCGCCCCTTACCTTCGGAATTTCTAAAATGTGTTATCCCCCCCTGCCTTCGGATTTCCAGTTCAAAGAACCCCCCTTGGCCTTGGAATTCCAAAGAGCCATCCATGGTGTGGTACGGATATTTTCTGGAATTGCCCAATGAATGATGCTTTCACTGTACCACCCCTCAGTTATTGTTCAGGACCCGGTTCCTAAAAGGCCGATTAGCGTTAATCCAGGATTAAAATTTTGTTGCGTTTTTGTTTTTTACGTTCCTATGCATTGCTTAGGGTAACATTTTGTGTTATCATTACTGCATCTCGTAGTAAAGGGTCAACAGTATTTTGCAACCTCGAATTGCATGTCGTTAGACGAGAAAATCGTGCTTGAAATTTGGCTTAATCTTGGGTTAAACTTAACCATCTTTTGAGGAGCCGGGCCCAGAGTTGTTGTACATATCATTGTAGTCGAAAAAGTTCAAACAAAATGGAAAAAACCAATGAACGAGCCCTTTGCTTTGCGACACAATCAATCACATCTTAAAAGAAATGAACCAGCAGTGATATCTCCACTTAATCAAAAATTGTTAAATTGGTCATGACGGGTGTATAGTGGTGTGATGAAAAGGGAGTGTCCAGGCAATAACTTGCTAGATAGGTATAAAATACATTTTCACTCTCACAACCTAATGAAAATGAATATAGGCTTGTACTATACTTAATTATTATTATAAGAACAGGTACCTATGCGGGATTATGTCATTTATTCCTTAATTAATCGACTGATGTTTTCCCATAACTTTTTTTTTTTCAGATACTTTCTCTTTACACAGGCAGAGACGTGCAGGCTTTTTAAATCTCTGTTGTAAGAATGGAACAATACTACCAACTGTTTGGCTGCCTACCAAAACAGGCCCTCCCAAAGTTACCAAGATCAGCGGTAGTACACAAATTGTTGTGAGAGATGACAGCTATGTTAAATTCCAGTGCAAGGTGGTTTCTAATCTTGCAGCTAATGTAACTTGGCTACTAAATGGTTTACCATTGACTGGACAGATGGACTTTAGGTATTCATATTTGGAATGCAGAACCGTTTTACTGATTGAAAATGTGTTAAGCACAGATGCCGGGAACTATACCTGCCTTGTTCAAAATGAGAAGGGACAAGCAATGGCATCCTCTTATTTGACTGTGAGAAGTAAGTAAAATTCAAGCATCAATGGAAAATTATCATTTGAAATGTTTTGTTATTTTATTTCTAATTCTGTGTGCACTGAAGCTTACCAATAAAGTTTGTATGTGTAGCAAACCTTAACACAACAATAAAATGACCAAATATTTTGTTTTGATTTTCATAGCAAAAGATAAAGGCCCAATGTACATAATGGACTTTGGACTAGAGGGAAAAAAAGGAATGCAGGGTGTAGCAGTTACTGGGACTTCTGTAAATTTAACCTGCAGAACTCAAAACACTGCTGTTAACAATTACTTTTTAAAGGACGGTTCTCCTAAGATAGAGGATGGAATACGTGTCACATGGTATCAAATGGGAGATTTTCAACACAACATCAAGGTTGCCAAACTTGAGATAAAAAATGTCACATTAGCAGACTCTGGAAATTACACTTGCGTGTCAGTCCTCCATGGTATAACAAAACGTAAAACATTTCCTCTTAGAATCGGTATGTATTTCTTTCAGGGATCTTTACAATTTTATATCTCTTGATTACTAATGTAAATAAGTGTTAAACAAATTAATTCTGTTCTTATTCTCTTTAGAAAAAACAACAAATTGACAATAAATTTAGTGTCACTCACTTTAAATCAACAACCTGTTAGCAGTTGAGCTCAGCACATCAATGACTTGTGTATACAGTAGAACTCCCGCCTTACGGCCACCTCGGTAATACAGACACCTCCTTATTACGGCCAGTTTTTTTCAGCCCGGCAAAACGGCCTTACATTTCCTTATAAAAAAAACCATTAATGCAGTCACCCATTAATATGGCCAACGGCCACATTTGAAAATGCTATACAGTAGAAGCTCTTATAATTTCACCCCGTTAATACGGCCACTCGTTTAAATTTAAAAATTTAAAATGCCTGTGACAAGTCAATTTTGTTGACCTAGTAATCTGAGCTTATTCTTGTACTGTTTTTAGACTACAGTACACTGAAATGCACTTGTGGCAATTTATAGCCAAATTTTAAAAGTTTCATGTACTGAAGGAAAATCTTAAGTAGTTTTTCAATAATTACTGTACACGATATCTACATTCTGGTTGTTTATTTAATAAGTATAGTACGGTGAATGCGATGTATGGTGTATTTGTCATGAAATTTGAGCCCGTCACCCCATTAATACGGCCAAATTTGTTTGGCCCATTATTAACAGAGTTCCACTGTATAGTAGTTAAATCTTAAATTATACCTAAATAATACGTGAAATGTTTTTGTTGATGGTGGTGTCTTTTTAGAAATGCGTTTTTTGTTGTTTTTTCTAAATTATCTTGAAACCATCTGGCCAAACCACTTACCAGTAGCTAACTTGACATACAGACTACAGGTGCACAAGCTAAAATCTATAGTGGTAAATGTACCTGCCGTCCTCAGCTACTCTGCTCTGTACTCTAACACCTGATATCGTTTCTCAAATGTTTAACCTTAGATATATTACTTACACATGCCTTATTTATAGTGAGGAAGAGAAACCTCACTTAATTCAGAGAAACACATTTTTGGGTCAGAGAGGTTTTAGTAGCCTTTGCTTAATTGTGTCAACTTTTCCTGAGTTATGTTAATTCTCAAATGAGGAAACCTTTGAGACTGTAAAGATTTTTCAATTTCGCTTGAAAACTGATACCCCTCCCGTCACCTTGTTATTCAACAGTGGATTTTGTGTTCGAGGCGGGGGCATATATGTAGCCATTCCAAAGACCTGTATGCCCAGGCCTGCAAATTTTGGTTTGTTCACTCCACCCCTTGTAATAAATTATGCGTTGTTGGGGTGAGCTAAAAAGCTTAAGAGGTCAAAGTGTTGGTAAGGTCAGACTAGTCATGCGGGCAATTTTCAGGATATGTGGAAATCAAAGTCAGCCAGGCCTACAAATAGTTGAAAAACTGGCTACCCCCCTGCCAGGTAATGACCGTTCCTCAGGCTGCGCGCGCGCGTCTGACTCCCATATCCTCACATATCTGACTTTTTTATCTTTTATAGCCCCTTATCCTCCACCCTCGATCTGAAGCCTTGTCGTGGACAGCAAAGGACCGTTGCAATTTCCATGAGTAAGTCTAGGGTGACAGCAAAGAGAAAAACTTGGGGTATCACATGACTGAAGATTAGAATGAATTTTTCTGTTCAGTTTTGGTTTCCGCTGTGAGTTGAGGGATACAAGGCCAGGGTGTCCAGTTCCTACTTTTCCCTATTTTTTGAGCATATTCCTATTTTCTCCTATTTTAAAACTAAAAGCTCCTATTTTTCCTGTTTTTTAGCTGGTGAAGCCAAAATTTGTAACAAAATTGAAAACGGAATTATAGTTTTATGCAGTTTAGAGTGAGATTGATCATAAAGCAAGTAGTATATTGACTTTGATGTTCTAATATTATCAAAAATAATAGTTACATTTGTTCTTTCCATGACCTCTATTGCCCACTAGAGTTCTGTTAACAACTTTGTTATATTGTTACTTTTTGTATAATTTTCTGGTGCACCGGCCTACATGTATTGTATGCAGTGTTGTAGTTCTCATGACTATTGAATATTATGCATAGCCCAACGCATTTCAGTATCTGTACATGTTATATTTTGAAGTCTTGCCTTTATGATTTTATGTTCATCTTTGAAACTGAAAACAGGATCAAGTTGTTCTGTCACAACATTGGCCAGAGAAATCATCCAATCAGCTTCTTGTTTAAAGAACCAGTCACTAGCTGGATTCTGTAAGCTACATGAAAAGAACAGACTCAAGTTTAGTTTGCGGCACTAGCTCTCTTGGTGAGCTCTTGTTAACAGCTACACCTAGTAAGCAACTGACGAAGGATCCAATATTTTGGTTGCGAAACCGGTCTTGCAGTCATAGCCAAGCAGCAGAGTGTAACGTTCTTCTAAGAACTTAACCATGGCACATTTACAATCTGGTACCAAAAAGATCAGTGTCATTTTGCGTTCACCGCAGCCGTACATTAAACTATGCGGTCTTTTCACTCAAACAAGCATATTCTCGACTAGCTACCGATTGCAGATTAATGGAAGGAAACCTTTCCATAAGACTTTTTAGTCCTAGTTGGATATCCTTCATTGACAACGCAATCGTAAGAAATTTCAATCCCCAGAAATTTCACTCTTTAAAGCTTTTCAAAGATTTGCCGCCAACTTGAAGGGAATTCGCATATGATCACCTTTGATTATAGAACCCCGCTCGACCTGTATTCAAGCATGTCATTCTGATTAAAGCGTAACTGAGCCAATAAACTAAACGTTACTGATCATTTTCACTCCTTCTAAGCCGCGAAAGATGATCTAAATCCTGCGAACGTAAAAGCTGAGGTCTCGTAGCTTTTATTATAACCCTGATGGGGTGCTAGGAGGCTATCTTTGTCGACGAAAGTACTTTTGATTTTCCTATTTTTCTCCTGTTTTTTATCATAAAGTTTCCTATTTTTCCTACTTTCTCAATCCCGAGTTTCCTATTTTCCTATTTTTTGGAGCAACCATGCCGCTGGACACCCTGAGAAGGAAGAAACGCTTTATTCTTTTTAGCTTCTAAAACTCTCACGTTCTTGTAGTAGATTTTTTGAAGCTTTTCACGTCCCCTAATTTACTTTGTGCCTTGTGCTGCACTGATAAACAGGATAAGGCCTTCACAGTCCTCACAGAGCGTTCCGATCTGTTTCGGGGTGAGTGGTCCTTCTAAGAGTAAAAGACCTCAGCCGACATTGCTGTAGGGGTCATGGAGGTGCACAAACCACCCCCACCACGAAAAGGCGGTCATTTCATCAAAGACCGTCTCAAACTCATTAATAATTCATAAAGAAAATTCAAAGGAAATTAATGTTTAATGAGTGTTTGGATATCAGATGAAAAACTGCTCATTTTTGCATCCTTAATTTCTCCTTCAAAAATGATTTTGTTTGAGAAGAAATATCAAACATTCGACACAGTGTTTCATCACCAGATGAAACACCTCGAAGTTCGTCAAAAATACTCCGCTGCGCGTCGTATTTTCAACTCTCTTCTCGGTGTTTCATCTGGTGATGAAACACTGCATCTCATGTTTGATATATTACATCAAAGCCGGATGTGTTTAACTTTTAAGCTTTTTTTATATTCCTAATGTTACTTATTTTAATTTCAAAACTTGTCTTATACATTGTTAGCAAATTATTATATTAGTCCTAGTTGTTTAAATTGTATCATTATTATTGTTGTTGTTGTTGTTTTTGTTTTTACTATTAAGGGGTTGCAATGGGGAGCTTGAAAATTTTCTTAATAAGCCGAAGGTTTCTTAATAGGCGGGGGTGGCTTGCAAAAATAAGGCATTTGAAACAACAGCCCATTATCACTCCCTCCTGACATGAAAATAATGTTTACAATAAAGTAAGCATGGTACAATTATAGACAGTTTGTTGTACAGTCTTTTGGCTGTGCTATGCGCATGTCTTCCGGTGACAGGAGCTCATAACATGGCTCCTTCTTCAATTCGCTTTCTTTGATTCTCACCAAACGTAGCCGGGCTGTAGTCACCTAAACATGAAGCTCTTTCTTTAAGTCTCCTTAAGTGGCAAGAAAACGAGAAAATGTGGAATAGGGGATGCCTAATAAAAGAGGAAAGAACCGTTCACCCTTTTTGCCAGATTGGGGGAGGGTAAAGTTCACGCCCTCATTTCGTATCAAGAGAGAATTAACCACTTTTTCTCTTTCATCTTTTAGGAAGCGCTTTCATTATGAACAGACACAGCATAAAGAGGATTACCAAAAAGCAATTTATGTATTATGCCGACTTTCTTGTCTTCGTTTTTCTTTTCGCGTTTTAACTTTAACCAATAATATTGAAATACGAATTAGTAAGATTGGTAAAATTTCAAACAAAGTCTCCAAAGTTGTGTGTAACCAAAATAAACTTCTACAGGGAATCAAAATAATTATTTGTCGAATTAGTTTTGGGGGGTAAAAGTGACATGGCAGTCTCAACGTTTGCCTGTCGCTTTGTCTCTTACTCTCTGCCTCTCTATTTTTTATTTTGCTGGCAATTTACTGTTCTTTTTTAAAGGCAGAACTTGAGCCAGGAGGTTGAGCCACGGCTTATGTCGGGACTTTTATAAATTTCTACAAGCGAAAAATAAATAAATAAAAATAATTGGTGGGTTCACACTGGACTTTTCAAGTGCACTTGAAGAGCATTTGAAGAGAACTTCAGACTAACTCGTGTGTGAACGGGTCCTTTTTCACTTGAATGATCTTTTCACTTGAATGATCTTGACTAGTCGTACTTAGTACAGGGTCAAGGGGGGGGTCTCATCACGAGTCCACAAACCACAATTTTGAGTTTCACGAGTCACTAAACAAATAACATAGAGGTCGTACAAACTGCCAAAAACGTTACGTCAGTCCTATTTTGTAAAACAGCACTTCGATTACATTTTAGCAAGTTAACTATAGTTTCAGGAACCTTATAAAAGCGCTACACGGCTATAATTCCCTAGGAAAGCCAGCTATTGGTGGGTCTGTGCGCACTGAAGTGTGAAGCCAAGGGCGGATTTAGGAGTGGGCTCAGTTGCCCCTGCGCCCCCTCATTTTGTCCAGGATTTTTTCCTTCTGTAAACGTGTCTCGCATGGTACTTCGAGCTTTGTTACTTACATATATTTTCTTCAATAAACATTGTTAATAAGAAAAGAATCTTTGTTTGAAGCCTACATTTTTAGTCGCAAATGACCAAAGCTCCCAGAATGCATACAGTAAATATCCATCTTAAACAAACTGGATTTGATAATTTTTCAGGGAGACAATGTTGTTGCTTTGCCAGGAGGTTGTGCTCACGCCGCAACGGGAAGACGTGCCTTTTAGCAGAACAGGTTTTCATGTCAACTTGTTTCTGCTGTTGGAAGCATATTACTGTAGACTCTGAATTTTTTGTTTTATCGACTCTTGAAAAATGTCACCAAATTTCGCTCAGCGGTCCTTGGTCCGCGACCTATGACCTTGGTTGAATAAAACTTCCCAAAATAAAAAGCGACGGTCTTTGTTTTCGAAGAATGTTTTGAAAATCGTCCCTATGCGTGTCTGCAAGTTCTCTTTTTTAAATACCTCGAATACATATATACAGAGTTTTTGGTAATTATTTTCGACCGCGCTGAAAACCGCTCGTCGACGCTCGTGTGGGAGACTCGAGGAGACTGTTGTCTGAAGTCTTTGAAAGAAAAGCAGATCATTTTATACTCACAACATCTTCCGAAAAAAACTTTAGCTTATTTGCATCAGGAAAAGAAAAAAATACATGAAATATTGTGAAAATCACGTTTTCGTGTGGAAACTATAACATTTTTACTTTTTTTTCGTGCTGCTTAGCTGAGACGCGGACCAAGGACCATCGAAAACGGTCGCCTTTTTTCGAATTCCAAGCAAAATATTTATGTCTGGAACTTGAAACTTCAGGATTATTGAGAGGAACATAAAAGCTTTCTTCAGGGAGTATTTCAGCTCGTTGCGTGAATATTCAAGTTAATGACTTTTAGACGCGGACCAAGGACCACATACTGTGACACTACTGTACATAAACATAAAAGACGAAAAAACACCTTAACTTATACTGATTAACTATAGAATATCACCTAAGTATTGTCTGTATATCGCATAGAAATACGCCAAATATCAAATCTGATTATAGATTTGCAACGATCTAAAGATCCGAATCTACCTCCAGCTAGACGGCGCCATTTTTCTTGCCCCGACAGCGGATCGAAATGCGAACTAGTTCCAGTCCTACTCAGCATCACAGCTGAACTAGAGAGCGCGCACTCGCGTATGAGCGCTGCGCAGTGACAACAACTTTCTTTTCCTGAACTTTGATAGAGTCCTTTAGAATTCAACTCTAAAACAATTTGTCAACATTTGACGAATTAAACGAGATGGAACAAGCGTGATAAAGTTTGAGGCAGCGCGAATTCACTTTTTAAGTGACGTTTTCGTAGCCTTCGTTGTTGCCTGAGCTCCCTTTGAAAAAATAGCCTGAGTAGCATGGCGGTTTTGGTTGGGCGTGCTAAGTAATGAAGGCGGGCGAGGGCAGAGAAACCGCGAGGAGATTGGGGCGGGTTCGCCGCTCGTGCGCCCGGCTCGACAAAACCGCCATGCTACGCAGGCTATTGAAAAAATAGCTCATATGTCAGTGGTTTGGGTGTATGTATCTTTGTGGCTTTGTGGCTTTGTATGTTCGGATGTTTGTTGCAGGGGCCAATAAGGTTGAAGGCACAATAAGTTGACGCGTAACAACCAATGAGATTTTGGCATCTAACCGTTAACGATATTGCTTAAGGTCAACCAAGGGCACTTAGAGACCGCAATTTTCAAGTCTTTTATTCCGGCTAAAGTTGTTTAGAAGTATAACATTGAAATATCTTCATGATTCAAAGGCTGAGTACAGTGATGCAGCTGTTTGAGGGGTGCGTATTTTAGTGTGGCTGCTGCTTCAAGACATTCGGCCTAATTCCGCTATCGCCAACGATACAACGCACATTTCATAATGTATGAGTTCTGTTTCACCTGCTTCAAGGTACAGTGTAAAAGATCATATATTTTTCAACGTTCCTCCAATGAAACAATAATTGAAATTTAGATATGGACTTTAATTCTGGAGTATGCGGCCTATAAATTGTGGTTTTCGAAGTTTGAAAGGCAAGGCGAGTATTGCTAATCCAGAAACAAGCTTTTTTCTCTTGGTTACAAGTTCAACAGACCTTTTTCGTACCAGGAAGAACAAAACAACAAGAAGACAAAAGAAGTTCGGTCAGAGTGGGTACCCTCAGGGCTTTAAGAACCCAGGGAAAGAGGTTGGCAAGAAATATAACCACGTTCCCATTGCCTTTTTCACGTTTGGAACGAGAACGGTTAGCTTGCGAGCAAGCTCCACGGGGTGCTCTGGCGGAGGGGCGGGATAAGGAGGGAGACGTTTAGGGTAAGGATTAGAGTTTCCTTTTCCCGCCACGCCGCTAGAGCACCCCGGAGAGCTTGCTCGCAGGCTAGAGAATGGTGAATTAGAAAGCCTTCTTCGTCCTTCTGCACTCCTACCCTTTCTTTCTTTCTCCTTTTCCGGAAACACACGCAGAAAAACAATTAAAAAATAACATGACCAACGCATCATATGAATTTCACATTATATTTGCAATCACACAAGTGAATGATTATCATTACGTGGTACATCGCACTATAATTACAGAATAAAACCATCATCGGCTTGGGTCACCCTTGATGCACGATGTTAACGACGAAAAAATTCCAAACTCACTATTATTTAACACCTTCTATTCTTTGTAATGCACCTGTAGAATGGCCAGTTCCACAGGTAACCGTTGAGTGATATGATCCCCCCCGGGAGCACTCCCTATAATGGCCTACACGGAGAGGCTCCGACCGAAAGGCGTCCCTTTTTCGGCTACAGGTAAATAATACGTATATTTAAAGGGTAACATTTTTTAACGGAAGGTTTACGAAGGGGGTACCTTTTCTGTCAAAAATGGTATATAAAAGCCGTAAGGGGTTGGACCTTAAGGCGGAGCCTCAAGGTATAACACGTTGCTTATTACCCCCCTACCCCCCGGGAATTTCTGCTGCAATTATAAAACATAAAGACTTACACTGTATTCCCATTTAAATGACAACAATGTCTTATCTGTTATACTTTAAGTAGGAAAGAAATCACGCGGCAAAAGTAACCGCCTATTCATTACCAACTGGGGAGCTGTTTACATAAAGGAAGGAAGATCCTAGCGCCAAGAAGATCCAAGAAGGCGGAACAACTTTTCGTTGGGTTTACATACAAAAATTTCGGTTCGTATGGAGAAGGAATTGCAGATTAAAGATCACCCATTGAACGACTCGCCGCCATTTTTGTTCTGTGTGTCCCTAGTACTAGGATCTTCCTCGCGAAAGCAGTTTCCATGGTGCTAGGATTTTCCTAGTACTGGGATCTTCCTGCCCCTCAGCTAGGAAGACCTTAGTACTAGGAAGATCCTTGCGCTAGGGACAAGCACAACTTTTTGTGTGTAAAGTGAGTAAAACATGTGGCGCTAGGATGATCCATCTTCTAGGATCTTCCTTGTGCTAGGATCTTCTTCCCTTCACGTACATTGTAAACAGTCCATAAAAATGTTCTATTCCCATTATTTGTACCTTACTTCCGGTCTATTCCTATAAAAAACTAACTTGTAAATATACAGTCTTGCTGTTTAAATAAGTAATCCTACAATCAACGGTGTGAAAACGTTATCAAAAGAAATGAAGAGCATTCGGTAAAATTGATTTGGTTTATAAAAATGAAAAACAAGTTAACAAAATTTTTTACCTGAGAAGTGTACCTTTTTACAACAATTAAATCCACGATATTTGCCCAAATATGTTTATCCTAATTTAATCCATTTTTAACTTTAAAACTAGGTTCTGAGGCAAGGTCATTTAATAAAATAATATTTGACTTTCAACTCTGACAAATTGTAATGTTCGTTATTATTGCTTACAGATTTTATTTGAAAAAAAAAGAGTCATTCAAATAAGCAAGAGAGGGTATCAATTTCACAGTGAAAATAAATACAAAATTAAAGGATGTTAAGGATCTTTCAAGATTGCGCTTGATCAAAGAAAGTGTTATTATTAATAATTAATAAAGAGTTATTATTACTGATCAGACCTGTTTGAGATCATGTTTAGAATGCAGTGTCCAATAATTTGTTCAAGTATAACCAGCTGAATGGTGGTAGTTGCTCGGTGTTTTAAGCTTGGTGTAATCACCAAATGACATGACACAAAAGATTGAAATAAACATTGACCAATCATATATGCCACAACATACTGACTAACCAACAGTGGTTTCTGCAACAACAAGAAACGCCCACTGGTGTAGCCTACCTGGCGGCCGATTTTGTTGGGAAAGGAGGTTGTGAGGGACAGTATGTTTCCACCCCATTCTCTTTACGGCTTTCCCACTTGCTCATACACCTCATGTTGCCTTTCACCATCAAACCTGGCAGCTACACATGCTATACTACTACTGGTGTTTCTTGTTTACAGCGTGCGTATGCTTGGATGAAGTTCCTTGCTCATAACAAAAAAGCAACTGACACCTAGTTCAGACCAACTATGCATAGATACAGTATTTTCATCCTTTTTTGAAAAAAAAAAGTTAGTAAGACTTCAGGCGCTTGCCAAAAGCCAAAACTGGCCTGCCTGTTGGACCAGCTTTTTTGAAAATAAAATTGGTTATTTTGAAAGTTTTTGCTTGATACATTTCTACCTTTCATACAATTTAAGGAATGGGCATTCCTTTTAACTGTATGCAAGGTAGAAATAGTATGATAAATTCTGCCTAACAGTGGAATAATTATCTTTATGACAGGATTGGTCTAGCCATCTATTTCTGACAAATGGTAAGAACCCTTACATTCACATCATCTGTGTAACTGTTGCTGCTCACTGCACACTAGCTCTTGACTCTGAGTACAGCTGGAAGTCATGCTTTCAGGTTTTTAGTTTGCTTGGAATACTTTAGCTGAAGAATATCTCCAACTTCATCAATGGCTTCAAGGGCCTAAAATGTACGAAGATAAAATGTTAAATCTAAATGAGGATATGACCAGCGCAGTTTTAACATATAGCAATTTGAGCAATATTGCAAATTTAGGCCAAAAAGAATTAATTTCTGCATAAGTGCTTCAGCGTTCTGCTATGAAGACCCATACATGTACACGTACGTACATTGGGAGAGAGGTAATTATGTTGTTTATTTCATTTAAAGGGAACCTCCACTTCAACAAAAAGATAACTTTAAATCACAGGAAATAACTGTTACAGTCAAGTCAATCTAAAATATTTTTAAAGAAAGCGTTTGTATCCCAAAGAAATAACTTTTAGATTCGCCTATTTTTGTTTTCAAATTTTGCGGGCGTCGCCATCTTGAATAATTGTGACGTGTGATGGTTGCCCTATTGTTATTAAACAAAAGCTCTTTGTGTCAGAACAATAGAGCAACCGTAACACGTCACAATTATTCAAGATGGCGGCGCCCGCGAAATTTGAAAGTGAAAATAAGCGATTTTAAAATTCACTTTTCCTGATATAAACACTTTTTTTAAGACAAATTTCGAACAAATTTGTTTATCAACATAATTTTATTCGATTTAAACTTATTCTGTAGTAAGAGTGGAGGTTCCCTTTAAATACATGAAAGTATGGTCCATGTAATTGACCATAGAATGAAGATGATGTGAACTGCTGCAATGTATATTAAGCAAACTTTTTAGCCTCTCCTTACCAGGGTTCATACAAAAAAATTGCAACCCTTTTTAAAGGACTTTCCAAGGACCACATTCAATTTTCAAGGACCACCTACCAGGACATTAATTTCACAGATTGTACAAAAACACATATTCCCAATCCATTCTAACAGGACTTTAAAGGCTTGACCTGTTTGCTCCACCACCTTCTCTACATTTTTCAGTTCACTTGTCTTAAATTGATAGTTAATTTTAGCAAAAAACAAAAAAGGCTTGATGTAAGTCACCCTTTAAAACTTCTCTGAGCTATGATTTATATTCTGTTAGTGGAAAATTTACAAGAAGTATTAAAAAACGCTTTCCAGGCAACTACAGTACATTCAGGGTTAAAGAAAATTTAAGGACTTCTCAAGGACTTCCGCAGAAATGTACGCACTTTTCAGGGACTCCCTTTAAAATTCAATGAATTTTTAAGACTGTGTGAACCCTCTAAACTATCACCGCTGTCACCAAGATTTCAAGTTGTTGGGTACAGCTGTTAGTAGGTGGAAAACTGCACAGCCACAAAGTGCTTTCTGTTCTACAGTATTCTCCTTTTGTTTCCTCTCAAAGTAGCCAGGGGAAATCCCACGCTCCTGGCCCTTTGCAACAGCATTGTCACTATGGTGTAACCATTCGAAAATACACCCTCTCTGGTAATACTTTTGCATTGTTCAAACTCTGATATTCACTTTCACAGAATAAAATTCAAAACTTTTCTTGCTTTGAGTAAAACAAGTCAACTGATGAGAGTAAAATTATTGTATAAATTAAAAGAGTTATGGTCGATTTTCTTTTTGCTATAAGCTATTGCTGTTTTTACTTGCCTTATCCAGCTGTTCACGAGTGTGCGATGCTGACATGCAGAACCGAGTACGAGACTCAATCAAAGGAGTGGCAGGAAAGCCAACAACAACAACAGCAACATTCCTCTTTAACATTTCACGGCCAAAGGCACTAACAACAAACAGAACAGGGACATGAGAATAATCAAACATATAATCGGGTTCAGTGGGCTCAAATAGAACGTTAACAAGTTACACTCCAATTCAACATGACATGACATGATGTTTTAAATGTTTGTACATCAGACAATAATCATTGCCCTTGTTAACAAGACAGTCTTGAATAATTCACTAGCTGTTAACTTTTTCAAGCAATATGCTAGATACAGCTTATCAGAAGACTTTTGTTTAATAAACACCACTCACATTACATGATTTCAATTAATCCTATTCAGGAAAATTAATACTACCAGTAACACTAAAGAATTTAATATGCTACCTTTGTAGCTCATACAGATGCACCACTACTTCAGGCAACTGTCTAAAAGTCGCTTTTTTTTTCATGGATACAAAGACTGATATAATTCTCACTGATTTATTTTCCCACAAATAGCTCAAATCACATCTGAAAAATTCTACATATTTTCGGCACTCTAGCATAATGCCTTATATTATTTTAACCAATTCAACAAGCACTCTAGTGGAAGGCTTGCCTATAATAAAAAACTACTGTCAAAATCTTGAACCACATATAAATACTTACGCAATTTTGGCAGGCATATAAAGAAGAAGAGGGATGACTGGTGAGGCATCATGACCATAAACAATAAATCCCATTTTCTTGAGTCTTTGTCTGAAGTATCTACAAGGGAACAACATGAGGTGTACACAAAGAATTAATAGACTACTTTTTACTGATACCAGGGCCGACTCATGAATAAACTAATCTCAGGGTGCAAAGGAAGTCAGTTTTACAGCCTGCAATTTGGGCAAGCTGTAGCTGGCATGTACTAGCCCACAAGTCATTTCACCTAGTCCCAAAACCCTTTTTGATTAGCAGGATTAATTACAATCCTTCTGTAATTTGAATTTTCCCAAAAAACAGCACTTGCCCATTGGGCAAGTTAAGAACAAAACTCACTAGCCACAGGCTACCAGACATGACTTTCTACACAGGCTGTAATCTTAACAGACCACATTGTATTATGGGATGCCAACTGGGTAAACCAGTATGTACATTGTACCAGTATGTGGTTCCCAGCTTGTGTAACCACTTGTGTTGTTCTCAAAAAGCTAAGATGCAGAGGAAAGGCATTCTTTTTTGTCACATTTTACGTCAAATTTTGTCTAAAGAGCATTTGAACGCAGCAATAACTGTTGGTCTCCTTAAAAACAGGGCATACATGTAAATTTAGACTTATTTTTATCTTTACTTTCCATGACTAGGGAGCCTAGACTTTGAAGCCTCTTAATTATTAATTTGCACTCCCTCGCCAGTTAATCATTTTGAATTTTACTTTACTTTACTTTATTTGTCCAAATAAATCAATGAACTGAACTGACAGATGCCCATGCCCTCATTTTTGGACAAAATTATTCACACTAAAAACCATTGTGTGAATAATTTTGTCCAAAAATGAGGGCGTTTGTGGAAAGTACATATACCCATGTCCCTTGGGCATCCCATGATAGTCTTCAGGGTTCTCAATAGATTTTTAAGTAGGAGGTGATCACTGATAAAGTAGGAGGCTCTTCAGCAAAGCCAGAGGTGTCAAAACAAAGCAAAGAAAAGCGACTTAAACACAAAGTAAGCGGCTATAAATCCCAAAGTAAGCGGCGATCAATCGCCGGGTGCCGCCTTCTATTGAGAACCCTGAGTCTTTTGTTAATTATTATGCCTGTCAAATATTTGGCAAAAAGGTCTACATGTATTTTTTCTTTCTCACTTGCTATTTTCAGCCAAAGCAGTCAGTCTCTTCTTTCCTGTGAGAGAAGGAATAAAAATGTTGAGTTACCAGGATTCTAACATTTCTCCTCATAACATCCCTGCTTAATCAGACATAAAGAGTCACAAGAGAAAAGGAAATGATCAGCAAGGGGATGAAAAGGTCTGTAATGTTAAACAAGTTTTGCTCATCAGCATTGCAGGTCTTTTTGTTTGGGTGTGTGAATTTGTCTTCTCATGTAACCATCAAGGAGTCTGGGCAAATCAAAGGGGGCTACTTCTACACCTCTCAATTTTCCTCAGGGGATAAAAATAATAACAAAATCATGAGTAAAGCAGATTTTGCCTTCCCAAAAATTTCACTGCTATTGCTGGCTGCATTGTACCTCATCACAGGGAAAAGAGAAGAGAATTTACTGCTTGCTGACATTGGCAGGGATCTAGCTCATCATGGGCGCTTTCCATTCAACCCAAAACTACAGAAATTTCAGTTGTTACATCAAATGGAACGCACCATTTCGGTTTGGTCCAACCGGAACTTTTGGGACCAGCTTTAATTTGAAGGTGGTCCACTTTGACCATTCCGTCATCTTGGTCGGTCGGACCAAAATGACCCGTTCCATTTGACAAAATTGTTGTCCCCAGTACCGCTCTTTTGTGTCTTACTTACAAGAACAATAACCAAACGCGTGGTGGCTTCGGTCGGGTCTGTGCAACTGGAATGTACTGTTCCACTGGGCACGTGGAATTTCCCAAATTTCAAACCGGAATTATTTTTTGTTGAATTGACAGCGAGCTATAACTAACCTTTATCAGTGCCATCTTCACCCATAATCATCTTCATAGATGAAATAATTTGCATGGCAACGGGTGGTGACATGGACGAAGCATATGCAGCACTGTGGGAACAACCTCTGATATGGTCAATTATCTCCTGTAAAATGAAACCAGTGTTAACCTATTGTTCATAAAAGGGTGCAAATAGAACTAATCATACAACAATATGGGAAATGCAACTTGGCAACCTTGGGAAACATCTAAGTGCTCCATACATATACCTCTCTCATCAAAGACTGGAACTTTGAAGGTGTACTCCCAATAAAAATATATACATGTAAAAAAGTACTCATAGAATGTCAAGACCGTCTAGAAGTGTTTTCTGCCAAGGATGTTAAATCTGAAGAGTGACAGTACACACTCAAGCACTTTGTGGACTTCTATTCCTGATGCTAAAACACTGGCAAGTTTGAGCACAGTTTAGTTAGGTGTCAAAGTTGTCAAGGCCAGTTAAAACAATCAGGGTTGTCATTAAGAGCCGGGGGCCGGGGATTTTCCCCGGCTACTAAGAGAGTGGCCCCCGGCTACTTTTATTGAAAAATAGAACCAAAAGAAATCCCTAGCTGTTTGATTTCCCCGCCTACTCGTTGTGTTTACCTGGCAACTTGAAATCTTAGTGACAACCCTGAAACAATGGAGGTGGATCCACATGAGCTGAAACACAGGACTCAGGGGTGAATGGGTTAATAACTAACGCATTCACCCCTGACCAGGTGGCCTTTGGTAGATTAAATCTACCTCTCTCTAATAAACACTACTGCACAGTAGCAACAGACACTTCAGTCTGTCCCAACTCCCAAAATAAACCCTCCACAATGGCCATTACAAGATCCACAATGCAAAAGCTAATGTGCCAATATTATTCTATACTACTTTCCATGTTTTGTTTTGTTGACAATTTTTTTTTCATGGGCTGAAGATTTGATTTCTGTTTCATTGACATTCTTTGATTGTGTTATATGTGTTTGAAAATGAAAATGTCCTACCCTTTCTCTCAAAAAAGGTCTACCTTTCCATCAAGGTCACTGCTTTACAACAGCCAATTATCTCTGTCCCCCAAGTGGCCATTGTAGAGAGAGTTAAACTACACTCTTACATGTAAACTCACCTTAGTTGCAGCAATGTACCCTCCTGCTGCACCAAAACTCTTGGTAAATGTACCCATCATGATGTCGACGTCATTAGGGTCCACTCCAAAGTAATCAGTCACGCCTCTTCCACGAGGACCCATGGCACCAATGCTGTGGGCCTCATCCAGGAAAAGGTATGCTTTGTATTTCTTTTTAAGGGCAATGACTTCTGGGAGTCTTACAATAGAGCCCTCCATACTAGAAAAAAATAAAAGAACACAAGGATTATAGCTTAGCTCAAGGAGGTTAACCCTTACAAATTCTCCAGACTGGCATTGAAATATTTTAAATGAATAAAAAAATATAATCATCATTTATAATTGGATTTGGTTTTACATTTATACATACATTTACTGATATCTACAGATCATACGAAAGCCGAATGTAAATTTAATTGCTAAATATTATTTTCTACATCAATGGCAATGTGACAGTGTTTTCCAAAAATCACTGATTGTTGTCTCCGTTATTAACACTAAGTTTGTACACTGTAGGGTCACAAGAGCTTGTTTGAGATTTTTCATATTTTTAGTCCATAAAATGTGTGGTCAAAAATGCATATATATGGCTTCACCAATCTTAGCTCACCTGTATACACCCTCAACAATGATAAGTATTTTCCTCCAAGGTCTGTGGGTGCGAGGTTGCCCCTGGACGACTGACTCGCGGAGAATATTCTCCAAACTCTTCATATCTAAAGGCAGTTACACAATAAATTATAACTTAATAAATTATAAGAAATCTTTTAATACTGAGCAATTTACAAAGAAAATCCTGTGTAACACATACATAAACATACATGAACTTTATTTTCACAAATTCTTGGGTTAAGCAGAAAGGCTAATACATATTTCTACGCAACATAAAAGAAATAAAAAAATGAAACTTGTTTAAATTACAAGTACATTTATACCTAATACGATTCTTGAAAGGGGACTGTCTTCATATGATATTTAAAACATGTACAGCTGTAGTTACAGAACATTTGCTTCTAATGGGCAATTCCAGAAAATATCCATACCCAACCACGGACGGCTTCCATGTTTTAACCCCCCCTTGCCTTCGGAAATTCCAAAATGCGTTACCCCCCCCCCATGCCCTCAGAATTCCATAATCGTGAACCCCCCTCCCCTCCAGAATTTCCATTTTTTTTTAAGTACATTTTCGACTTAGCAACGCCTATCTGAACAAACGAACATGAATTTATGCCTCCTCAAGGCTCAAGCGGCGCCAGGCAACAAGCTTTACTCTTCAGTGACAAGAAAAAACTACCGCTAGTGGCCAGGCTGTGCAAACTCCTTTTTAAGTCCGAATTTGGCTATAAAAATAAACACCACTTAAGGTAATTTTACTCCTCTTTGTTTTCTTGTGCTGTTTTGACGTTTACAAAGCAAAATAGCTCAAATTCAGACTGTTAAAATCTTTCGGTGGTCAAATATACCGTCGAGTCATGTTGCGTCCTTTTATAGGTCATGTAGTGTGCACGAAAAGTGTTCTAATCTGACAGGTGTTCCATGGAAGCGAGGGACTGGTGCGAGTTTTTTACTGTTCATCGGACGGGAGTAACAAGAAATTTGCAAGCGGTATTAAAGATACATTTTCAGTTTTTATTCATGTGACAAGAAATTCATCAAGGTAAATGTGAAACCAATGTTTTACTGTTCACTTCTATAAGTTATGAGCGTAAACACGTGTCTGATCTATCGATGCTTGTCTTCTGCTTCCGCGGTCATATGTTCGTGGTTTATTTACGAACTACAAAATTCCACAACAATGGCGTTTTCAAGGACTCACTCTACACTTTCTACTCCAGAAAACCCACCTGTGGAATTCCCCCATGCCTTCGGATTTCAAATCGTAAATACCCCCCCATGCCCTCAGAATTCCATAATCGTGAACCCCCTCTCCCCTTCGGAAATCCTAAAAGCCGTCCGTGGTATAGTATGGATATTTTCTGGAATCGCCCAATGTTATCTGAAGTGACAGAGAGAAGAAATTTGACGTCATGTTGCCCACATTGCAAACTTTCTGGATATCAATAATCTTTCTTGACAGAGACGACCATTTGCATTGTTGAACGATGGAAGAAAAGTAAGAGCTTACAGTTTGTTTCTGAAGGCAATCATGCACAGGAAAGTCACTGATGTCAATTTTTTTGTTTTTTTCTGTCATATTTGCAGGACCATGCTTTGTTGCAATCCAGAAATTTTGCTACCATGGACATAGAGAGGAGGAGACGTCATAGAGAGGAGGAGACGTCATTACATCACATTGTGATGTAATGACGTCTCCTCTCTACACCGTGGGCACCAACTACTAAATGCAAGATAACTGGAAGAATTCTTACCATTATGTTTGAAGACCTTAATTTTTGCTCCTGACAATCTAGCTCCCAATACAAGTGATGCATGGTTCAGCTCATCACTGACTATCAGGTCTCCTTTACCTACCAGGGTTGGTATGTTAGTTGAGTTGGTAGCGAAGCCCATACCAAACGTCATAGCAGCCGGTTTGCCAATAAACCGTGCAACAAGATGCTCTAACTCATCATGCAGGTTTTCCAGAGTACCTGCAGGGGAGAGAAACAGTCATACCATAATTTGATCTGTAACATCTACATTAAAGGCATCCTGAAAAACACTACATGAACAAACAGCGTCCAAACAGTGCACCAAGCTCGATTGTTTTGAAAGTCTACCTAAAAGTATAAAATGGTCACCTGACATAAAATATTGGTCGCCATTAAAAAAAAGCCAGATTTCATTTTACACGAAGGGTTATACCGCTGACCAAATTCATTACCAGTACTTCATTTTTCATGTGTTTTGCATGAAGCTGTTCAAAGTACATTGATCCTCAGGTAAGCTTCTCAAGTATATTTCTGAACAGTTTCCTTCCGTAGAACTGATTCATATTTTTGCCAAGTTCCAGTGGCTTTTTTGCAGCAAATGGATCTCCAGCAGCAAAAAGAGCATTCAAATTTCTCAAAATGTCATCTACCTCGCACATCATTGTAAACTCCACTGAATGATGAAATAAAAGAAAGGTTGTACTTTTCCTTTTGTGTTGCAACTATTAATTTCAGACGCATGCAAACCCATTTAGTGCAGTGCCATGTCAGGCACGAATTTTTTGTCTGATCTCAAAGGCAGCTACTAAAACCAGTCAAATATACAATAATGCAGTTTCCAGCGTTGCTTTAATTAATACTCAAGTATTGTACATGATGAAAGCATGAAACTCTGATTATTTTTCTTAATTTGCAAAGCCTGGATGACACCTGAAAGAACAGATGCATTTTTCCAACTTTGTTTTTCACCAGAGCAAGTGCAAAGAATACTTTTTCTCATGGGAAATCAGTTTTTGCATCATACTTGTTTGTCAAAAAAATTTTCAACCACGTGATTTTACTAAAGCCCTTGATTCTCATTATTCTTTAAACTTGCTTGAAGTTTAAAGAGCCGTTGCAACAAGATACCTTCATTCTTGTTGTCATCTGACCCAGTTCCCACTTGCCTTATCAAAACGGCTGCTCAACTATCATGCCTACATTGCAATCAAATTTGGATGCCCCACAGTTCACACTGGGACAAGCATAAATAATATTTCTTGCAAATGTTCACCTGAATTTAACTTTAGAGAGACCATTTACACTAACTGATAAACTAATGCTGTACACCTTGACACATGACTACCGAAAAAAGGTCACCAAATTGGCGACTTTCGCTGCAAGTTTAGTCAGCAATATCTTTTTTCACTCACCATGGCAACTGAAATGGTTGCAGCATGAAGCACTGGCCCAAGGCTAGTGGATTTTGCAATCGGACTGGTCAATTCTGTTCTTAAAACCTTTGAAAAACTGTTAACCCGTTTCTTAGCCACAGAAAAGAACAAGTGCTTGAACGAAACAATTATTAAAGAAGATAAATTACCCAGAAGCCACATTCCGAGAAATTAACAGTTGATCAATAGGGCAACTAGAACCTGAAACTAAGTTGCCCCCAAAAAACTTTTAGTTGCCCTGGGAACGTGGGCAACCCTTTAATGTTAAGCTGTGAAAAATCTGGTGATGACAATCTGCAAACCTCAAATTTAATTCTTATCATAGATAATTGAACCTTTTCACCTTCATAGGAACCATAATAGCTTCAGAGGAAAAGTGTACAAGTTTGAATATGAGTCTTTACCATACTCATGTCGTGGGCTACATCCTCCCACGCCATATTGTTTTACTGCCTCCTCTGCAGCCTCCGCACATGACCCAACATTCTCTGCAAACCCAAGGTAGTTGTATGAACCAAGGTTGAGAGCCTTCGTACTTTGTCCAGTTTGCCTTGAAAAGGAGGCAAACATATGTAAGTGATATAATGATCATTCTTTTTTCAAAGCATGAAAGCCAGTAAAAGAACAACTCAACAAAGAGTTGCCTGCTAACACCTGACTAGGTTTATTTGTGTCAAAACATGGAAGCTAACAGGATCACACTGGCAAGCAAGTAACAATAGCTGATCTAAATTGAAGCTTAGACCATCCAGTGTATATTTTACAGGTCAAAATTACATTCACGTTGAAATTTTTAACCTAGGTTGACTCTCAATTTCCTTTGTCTCCTAGCCCTAATGCATCAGTCAATTCCACCCGTGCCCAGCCCCCCCAAACCAATTGGCATTTTTTTGCCTTGGATGGCAAATTACCGGGGGTGGGGACGAAAAAAGACGGCAAATGCCCCGTCCTCCGTCAACACTGCAACATTTCTCATTGATCGAACAGGCGAATAGCACCATTTTAAGCATTTTAATGTTCGATTTTTTTGTTTCATTTAACGTCTTCCTTTGTAATAGTGCTAGGATTCTAACGACGACATGTACCAGTTTATGGTTTTAGTATTGATATAAAATTATTGACATTAAAATTAATAGAGTGCTGTAAAGTTATATGTTATGAACAGTTTTATAAATATGAAAGGATGTTCTGACTGTGCGCAGGTGGAATTGACTAATGCATAATTATTCATGAATTGGGACTGGGAGACAAACGAAATCGAGAATCAACTTACAGCTGTAGGTTAAAAAATTTTAACCTGAATAATAATTTTGACTTGGAAAAAATATTCCCTAGAGCAGGATAATTAACAATTATTCTACGAGGGCGCATTGGATATGAGATGATAGATAGCCAACGAGGCGCATAGCGCCGAGTTGGCTATAATCATTTCATATCCAACAAGCCCGAGTGGAATAATTGTTTTATTAAAAACGCCCACAAAATCTCGTTGAATTGCCCCGACTAGAACAAACCGGAAAAGACAAGGGACTTCCGCTATTGACATGTCACACGTCTATCAAAACTGTCAACGCGCGAACGGACTCGCCTAGACTGGATGAATGAAAAATCAAAACATTGTAGCGATGAACATTAGTTTTTGAAAAACTCATCGTGATTCTAGGATTTTACACAGCGGAACAGCTTAAAAAACCTGGCAGATAATGTGAAGGAAAGGAATTTTTAAGCGACAGCCGTCGAAATTACTATGAATTTGGATTTTCGGTGCAGTTATAAAAGTAAGAACAACGGAGAAAGACTACCGGTATTACCTCGGTCGCTTGTTATGAAGTTGTTTGAAGCCACAAGCTGGTTTTGCTGAACGAAAAAAGAAGCTATACTGCCGCCTCGATTGCTCTAGTGAATGGCTGCATAGCCTGTATTTGTAGCTGGTTACTTGTGATTTACATTCTTGATGTCGGATAAACAAGCTGCAGTTATCTATCGGCGAGTGACTTGATCGGCGAATGGCTTCGCGATCATGAAGAAACAACACTTGTCTTCTTTCGTAGCTGGTCAAGGTACTTTAGTTCCATGTGTTTTCATGTGTTTTTCGACAAACTTTCAGACAAGCTCTTGTGGCTTTTTTGTTTGTTTTTGTCTTTTTTCTTGCGCTGAAATTGCATTTCTAGTATTCTAAGAAATGAATTAAAACGATTTGCTTCGGGCGCCGTTCTATCCTTCGCGAAAAAAATCTCAGCTAGCTTCCAATTTTAAACTGACGCGTACACCGACCATATATGGAGAACATGGTATATTAGCTCATATACCATAACGGATAAGCCAATCAAGATGCTAGAATTGCATTATCCAATGATTCAGTTTTTAATAATTATTAATGCATACAGACTAGTACATCATGCTTTTGTCTACAGCTTTACAGCTTCTTTGGAAGACAGCTGTACATTGTATATTGTGGTTCAGTTTATACTCATTATCATAAAGAAATAAGCATATACAAAAACAAAGTCTGAACCAAATGACAGTGTAAATCAGATCAAACCAAGGATAAAATTCAGACCAAAATATTTATTGAACAATTGCGCTGCAAAATAATAAAGGAACTGTGCAGTACATCAGCTCCAACTTACAGAACAAGAAAAAAAGGCAAAAATTAGTATTCAAATTCTTCAAGTAACCAAGTAACTACAATATCCCTACATCAAAACAGCTACTGCTTTGATTAGAATAACAAAAGACATTAATACTACAACTCTGGTCAAAGCTCTTCGGACACTAACGCAATAGCTCGTCACAAATTGAGGCACCATTTCCCCTGGTGCAGTATTGACGTCATGGCTTCAAGTTTTAATTTAACACAATCAACACTACTTGGGGGAGAGGGGGACAGCAGAAATAGCTCCTTATGAGAACATCCCCAAGCATTCTTAAGAGGTAGAATATGAGTTAACTTAGCAAAGTACATCTTTGTACCTAATTTCCTCAAGTGTACCAAGATGTTTTGACCAAGGCTGTAGTTTTACTTGTTCCTACAGGACAACAAGTCAAAAAAATTTTTATCCAGTTAAATTCTGTTACCTGAACGACCATCCATAATCATCTGAAGCTCTATCAAGAATCTTGATAGTGTCACCTGGAACACTACAAATTGGCCTGTTCCAACAGTCCCGTATTCTAGTGTACAGATTTCTGGTGTAGAAGCTTTCAAAATCTGCATACAGGGGGACAAAGCCCTGAAAATTATAATAATAAAAAATCCATGTTACATAATATCATTATAATTTATATAATGTTACATAACATCATTATAATAATGTTACATAACAATTATCTTTGCAAATGAGTCTCCAGTGGCTAATACACAGTTAATGCCTTAGGGCAGCTTGAACTTTTAACAGAGTCAGACCCAAGCCAAAATTCAAATGTTCTTCAAGCTCTGAATTCTGCTGCCTAAATAAAGTTGTGAATTTATTGTAGACGGGTTTTCATCTCATTATACAAGATTCTCAAGCTGTTGACAATAAAAGGAAATGAGACTAAAAATTAAAATGCATGGATTCTTCTGAGTGACCCCCCCCCCCCCGAAAAAAGATTTTGTAAGCTCAACTTTACCTCATGTATGTTTCAGCACTGTATCCAAAAGTTTTGCCCATCAGAGAAAAGTATCTGAACATTGAATGTCCATATTTTTTTGAAAAACTGATGTACTCTAGAAAGTTCTGAGAGGGTTCCCCTTATCCTCCATATCCAAGGTACACATAATAATGATTTACACTACTATGAAATAAAACAATCTTTTTTTTAAATAAAACTTCTTGTATTGGAGTTATGTAATTGTATAAACTTCACAGGGTGACTTAGATGTGACAGTGTATGCTAAAAATTCATATCAGAGAGTATTTTCACTTGAATAGTGTAAGGATAAAAAACGTAGTTTTATATATCCTTCAAGATAATAGCTAAAAGCGAACATTGCCAAAAATTAAAATGAAGTCAAATAGTAAACAGCACACAACAAAATAATGAAACATTGCATTCTTTGTCGATGACGACACACTCGGGTACACACTCGTTCCCCGACAGTGCTGAAATTAAATGCATCAAAACATTACGAAACTGCTTGTACAGTGTACGTGATGCGTGCCTCGTGTTTGTGGAAAACTAACGCAAATCCCAATTACACAAACAAATTTGTCCGGTGTACACTCTCAGTATAAAGGTCTTTAGTTCAAGTATAGTAAAGAAAGCTTCAACCTTTAACAATAGCTTTTGGTTGACGCCTACAATCGATCGAGTCGTATCACATCAATTTTACGCTAGCGGACAGCTGACTGCAAAGAACTCGTGCGATCTTGCAGAATTTCACTTCATCTGGAAATTCGATTTAAAAAAAAAACCAAAAAAACCCGTAACGTACCTTATTTCCGTGTTCCTTGGGCGCTTTTGATTTCTCAAGCCCGTATTTTCGCAGAAAGTCACGCAGGTAACCGAACAGGATCAAGAAGAAGTACGACAGATAGGTCAACACTGCCACTTGGAACGGAGTATCTTCAAATTCCTCCACAAAAGAATCTTTGAATTCCTTTAGTTTTTCCTTTTCGTGCGCTGCAAACCCGTTCTTTTTGGCAGAAAAGCCATTTTTGTACGATTTTTGCCCTACAGGGCTTGTCTTGTACGCTCCCGCGACCATCTTGAAAGTGTCGAATGGTTCTGGTTCCTCGCAAATCGTTCCCAGCGTTCTCTCCTCCCCTTCGCCCGAAGGGCCCTGGGATATCAAGCCGCGAGATCAAATGTTGAGCCTAACAGTTCCAACACTTTTTCGGCCATTTCTCATTAGCCTGCGATCAGGTGTTCTGTCTTTCTTTTTTTTTTTTTTTCGGAAGGGAAAAAGTTGAGAGTGAATGAAAATACATGCATACCACACCAAGAGCCATAATGGCCACATGTATTATCTTGCGGGCTCACACAAAAAAGGTCACGATCATATGCCGGGGGGTTTTGTTGTTTTGTTGATATAAATTTTTATAAAAATAAAGCAGACATAGAGAAGAAGTGCGCGAACAGTGACTGCTGCAAACTGAGCCAAGGAAGTGAAACTTGTGTTGTAGGAGGCAGAAAACTTAACTGGAGGGTTACTTTGCCAGGGTCAAAGAGGGGAAGAAAGACAAAAGAGATCAAAAAAACAGCAAATACGCTATTTTGCCACTGTTTTTTTTTTAAGCAATAACCAATAGAAATCTGTCATTTTTAAAAAGAGTACAATTTCTATTGTACAAAGGATAATAGACAGCGCGAGCAGATAGTCCGTTGTCCATATGAACCGGTGTCGGCCGCGCGTTAATCAGTCAGAAAAATATGAGCTTTTCGTCGGGACAAACGAAACTGTCCGTTTATATGCGCGGGTGTCCGAATCAATAGAGTCCATTGAGCGGGGTTACACTGAAAAGAGTTTCTATGGTAAATAAAGCTTACATTAAATAAATGAACTAAAATGGGTAAAAGTTATCAAAAATGTAAAGACATTGTTCCCAGGCGTCTTTCTCTTTCACTCTACGAAGTTTCAGGGTGATTTACGCCCCGATCGACCTTCAAACCTGCTTCACTACTGCTCCAAATTTCGCGCTCAAAATGCACGCAATTTTTAGGCTATGTTCACAATAGGAAGCTCAAGCGGCGACGTTTTTGAGCGACGCGCGTCAACCAGAAGTGAGCCTTTTTCTCCCTTAATATGCTTTGACGCTACCAAATTTGTATGGCTAAGTGTCCTTACTCTAAAAGAGACGATTTGCCCAAGAATTTATAGAAACTCACGACCGAAGAGTGAAAAAAGTCCACTTCCTGTTGACGTGCGTCGCTCAAAAACGGTCGTTGCTTAAACTCCCTAGTATTGGATAGCTTCTGTTCACAGATAAACAATCAGTGATTGCGGAACGATTTCTGTAGCCGAACAAAGCTGCGCCGCGCCGATCTCTAAAGTGGAGAGTCACATATTACATCGGATAAGTGTTCAAACTATACCGCATAGATTTCCGTGCCTTACAAAAACGCCAAAGTCATAAACTAATTCCTTAAGATCCTGCAATTCAGGTCGTAGCGTTCAACCTGGCCTCTTGACCGCACAACTCTAAGAAGATCTAACAAGAGTTTAAAAAATTAAACCGGCGCAATACATGCATTTCCCTCAAAACTCTCATATTTACACTCATGGCCACCTGTACTGACCGTTAAAGATTTTTGGCCTATTCTCAGCTTCTCTGCGCAGCAAGCGGTTTCGCACGAGTTCGTCAAGAAAGTCGGGATGATTGCAAAAAAGAGAAAAAAATTCGCGCAACATTAAACTCGATCGGAAACGCTTCCTCCGCAGGCTAATTCTCAGCTATAAGTGAACCCCATATACATTAAGCCAGAACTCCTGAGAATAAACAAAATTATTGCAAACATTTTCAAGGCTGAATTTTAATCTTACCTATTTATAATTCACCCACCAGAAGAAATGACTGAGACTTTCATTAGGCCTCTCGTAGACTCGTACTGTTCTTTTTAATCTCATACCGCAACGTGCCAACAAATACTCGGGCTCACAAACAATCGCGCAATCTAAATTTGAATCTTAGCCTCGTTTGCACCTGGACCAATCAAATTAGCGAAACACGCATGCGTCACTAGATGACGTCAGTATAGAGTATATAAGCACACGCCATCAGCCGAAAAACGCCAGTTTGCACTGACTTTCACTGTGTACTAGACTTACGCTACTGTTGTCAAGAGAAAAGTTGCTAAAACTCTCCCGAAATGGGTTGTAATCAAAGCAAAGTGAAATTTCAACAAGTGTTTAAGAGAAAGAGGGTAAGCGCAAGTTAGCCCTTGATGATTTATTTGTAATAAACCACAAAAAGTGATGTTTTTAAGCGTATTTTAGCTGTGCGCTAAGACCGCGAGCGATATCCGTTGAACAATTATGGCGTCACCATTGCCATATAAGGGAAAAAATTAAATAAATTCTGACCAATCACAGGACACCGTCTTCGGCGCCAGCTTAGCCATATAAGGAAACAAAATGAGATAATTCTGACCAATCACAAAACATCGTTTTCAGGCCACTGTGTCATAGCGTATGCATAACCAGAAAGGGAAATAAATATAATTGAATGATTCAAAGGGAACAATTGTTGCTCCTGTAAATATGTAACCGTAGTAATCGTTCACCATTAGCATAGAATGCCTAAAATGCGCGCAATTCCGCAATAGCCTTAGGCTGTCCATAAATGTAGCAGCGTGTTTTGTCGACGTCTCAAGTGTGTGCATTTAAAATAGAGGGATTAAGAGTTACGTTTGCGACAAACGGAAAACGTTCAAGTTAGAACATTTCTCAGAGGAGAAAATAAGCAGATAAGAACTGTCCAGAACAATTCTTATGGTTAAAACTGGTGTAAAAGTACTTATTTTTAAGTAGAAGTAATAAACAGTAAACGACAATTAAGGGGAAAGCTTGGTCTCGTGGTACAAATTCAACCGTCGATCACTTAACTCTCAGCGCGCGCACGTTTAGTAACTAAATAGTCTCGCACAAAAATACTGTTTTAGCCGGGTTTCTACCAGTTTTTAACCTAAAGGCCGTCAGATTAGACCTGATAATCAAATTCCCAAATCATCGGCAAAATGTCGGCATACATGGGTGAGGATCAAAAAATGCTTCAAATGCCAACAAGCATCGAGTTGAGTTTTAACCACCTCCGCTCTTGTTTAATTGTTTTACAATTAGTGAATTTAAAAATATAACGAATTCAATAATCAAAGTACTCATTCGTTAAAAAGTAGAATAACGTAAAACATTATCATTCCGAAAGAAAAAAGGGGTTCAAATTCATTGTGAGGTAATTTCAAATGTTGCAAGCTCCATAGGCGTAGCACATCAACTGAACTTTTGTCTTGGTAAAAAAAAGTTGAAAGTGATGTAGAACCCGGAAGACCAAAATAGGCCATTTCAGAGTTTCCCCAACCATCTGTTTCAAAGCGAGGCTAAGTGCAAAGCATTTATATGCAAATGACTTTAATTTATTCTCATGCAAATTAAAGTCATTTCCACAAAAGTCTTTGCCCTTGGCCTTGTTTTGAAAGTAAGGGGTTTTGAGACGCGGAAAGCCTCATTGCTCCAGCCAAAATCTTCAAATACGAACAATTCCACAATTGATTTCGGCTCCTTTTAAGTCATTAAAGAACTCAGTAAATTTAGAATAGAATACTTATGACAAGAGAAAACTGAAAAGCTTAAGCTAATGAATAGCAACTTTTTTTGGTTCTCTTAGGCGACCAAGAGAACAACTACTTGGTATGTGGAGTTTGAAACTGAAGCTCAGTGCAGTTATGAATCCAGTTCGCCTATCAATCAAACAACTCCACAGAAAACAGCCCCAAAATTCACCACCCACTACGAGAAAAACACCTCTCCTTTAACTTTCATGATGAGGAAAGATAGCGAGTGGGTGGAGTTATACGATCAAGAAGAATTGATAACATGTTTGAAAACATGCTTGAACTATGAAGGTGTCCTTGAAAATGGAACACATGTTTTCATGCTTACTCCAAGGCAGCTGCTAGAGATGAAAACCTATGAAAATCAATGTATTTATGAACTACCCTGGAAGGGCTGTATGGCCTTGGAGTACTTTATTAGGTAAGTGAAAAGTATGCTATAATACAAAATGAAAGTCCGGCGTTTTTGCGTAATAAAATTTGACCTTACTTAAACGGATATTTTATTTGAAAAGCAAAACACCCTATAGGCTGCGTTGGCATATTAAGAAGCGGTGAGATCACTGCCTCGATTTGCTATGGTTTGCGCAAACGTTCTGTGGATCACGACAGAAAATGTGCAAGCGCTGACCACAATTTGATGCTAAAAGGTTCTTATGCGCATCAAATCATCACTCTTAAGGAAAAGTAGATCTTAGCGACAGATCGGATAATTGCACCCGAAAAGAAAATTGAGTAATATCCACATAGTTGCTTAGGCTATCCTTGAAAAGTGTATAGCTACCCCCACAATTTTGTTCCTCTTGCTAAGAATTCTTTGCCTAATCATAGGATATCATCCGTGAAAAATACCTTAAGTTTGTATCGAGAGGCAATGTTCTTGTTAGCAAATCTAATGGTGCGCAAAAGGCATTCGCGTAAGAATTTAACATGTAGATTGGTGTAAACAGAGACAGATTCTAAATCCTAATCTTTCCATGTTTTAATTCCACAGCTATATTCAAAAAGCAATTGAAACAAAGGTTGAGAATGATCCCTTTGTTATTGTCTTCGAAGACATTGACAATGAACCAGGTTGCAGCAAAATGTGCACCAATCTGATTAAAAAGACCTGCCAAAGACTGCAGATGAGGTATGCTAAAAGATCATAATACACGTCGTTTAGTCTGCTTTTGAAACACTGAAGTGAAAGCTGTGTTTCTCGATTCCTACCCCAGTTTCTTGGACTTCTGATCTTTCCGTTCCCGGCCATCCCCTTTCTCTACCCATATGTTCTTCTTCTTGTTGCTCGTCTTCCTTTTTTCTTTCAACGTCCTCTTTAATTTCGTGTGCAAACGATGCTGTAGATAATTAAAATCAGCTTTACATTCCCTGCCGGTAATTGTTTCAAGTATACTCATAACGTAAAAACTAACTTTTAGTACGTTTCATGCTATAATTACAGGTTTTGAACAGAAAGGAAAAAGAAAAAAATATATGTAGTAGTCTAGCTTTATATAATATAAGCAAAGGACAGCCAGGCCCAAGTAAACCAAGACAACACTAGCTACCCTTTTTGAAGTACATATGTCCCGATACCAAACTCACCCATCATAGGCGGAGTTTTATCATTTGCTGTTATTCTCTAATTGTTACAAATGAAAAACACAACCTTAACCATGAATAATGTTAGGTTAACTTTTGTTTTATACAGGTTTAAAGGGGGGTTGGAGAATGTATATATCTACAGGCCATCAGGTCTGCTCGCACGTGAGCTCTCCGTGCGAAAGCTCTTCAACCTCCCCTTTGTCAGGTAAGAATCACTGCAAATAATATAAAATTGTATTAGAAAAATTGGAATTATACATTAGAAAAAACAGTCGACACTTTCTGTGTTTTAAATTCGTCAACATATTTATACGATGTATTTTTTCTGTTGCAGCTATGAAATTGAGAACAAGCTTGTTATAGCTTATGATGAATTCTCTATGGCACAGCTGACAAAAACCTCAGGTGTGTACAAGTGCTTTCAGCTAAGTTTCTATATGTAACGAACAGCTACTTGGTTTACCCATAACAGACCACCGAACAAAGAGGCTAAGAAATACTAAGACTGAGGTCGTCTTTTTTATCATCATTAAATATATTCAATATATCCGTGCAAGAGTCGAAATTCGGGTTTCTTTATACAAAGAACACAGTCCCTCCTCGGTCAGCCATGCATGCAATGATATTTGCTTACGTGATGAAGGCGTTACTATCGAACGTGAGTGCCATCTAGTAAATTTGCTTTCACGAACCATTGATAACAGAAGCAGCCTTTTGGGCAAAAGAGCCCAGTAAGGAAAAAAATAGATATGTTTTAGGTTAGAAGGTTTCCATTTAAATCAATTGAGAAGACGAATGGGGAAGGAGGTTTGCCTCTCTGTAAAAGCAAATAATTCAATGACAGAACTCATCGCTTGTATATAACTCATAGTTGTTACTCATTTTCTTTTGTAGGCTTGCGTAGCAGTCTCCAGGTCATGCACCAAGAAGCAGTTTTCGTGCCAAATGACGAAATTCAGTCACCCTATATGGTGGTCTGCGGAATTTATAGCTTATATTTCTAAAGAGACTGATTAGTTAAGTAAAGTTGCTTAGTACACGAAACGCTATAAACTGATTCTTAGATTATGTAACTAAATGAACTTTTAAATAGCTTTCTCCCTCTCTTTGACACATGAAAATGATCTTTTCGCTGAATCTTAGTATATTCTTAGCGTGTTGATGACCTAATATCACAATCTTATCATAGAATCTGAGATTAATTTTAGTTATCTTTTGATTACTCAACATTTCAACTCATACATTCTCTAAGAGGAAAATTCATTAAGCAAACACTGCAAACTAAGGCAACGAAAATAAATCTGTTTTCTAATAATATTAATTAATATATCATCAAGAGCCATTCACTAGTGTTTAGATATAATTTTTCTATAAATATTTTGTGGGTCGTGATTATTATTGGAGTGTAATAATGTCCTATCGATTATGAACTGGTAGATAGCTTAACGAATCAGATTGGCTATTTTATTGTCAATGGCCATTTTAAACACGAATACAGTATACTGAACAAAGTTCGTTTGTTGTATTCGTTGTGTAATTTGAACTTACTAGTTCTTTTTAGGTGAATTTTAATATTCAGGGGCGGATCTAGGGGGAGGGTGCACCCCTTCCTGAGATGACCTGCGGTTTTCTAATACAACTGGTATTCTGCTAAAAAAAAACCATGTGGTTTATTGGTGTTGAAGTAGAGCAAGAGACGAGTGCATCCCCTCCTAAAAAAAAATCCTGGATCCGCCCCTGATATTTCATGTTTTTAGATCTCGTAACTTCACTTTCCTAATTGTGACTGGTTAAACTGTGTTTGATTTTGTCAGATAAAATAACTGAGATACAAGCAGTTTTTTGGTCGAAAAACCCATTTTTTATTACATAAGTACAATCCAGTGACACCTATTTATTATTTATATGTTTTATTAGCCAGATAGTTATATAGTTATATTTAGTAGGCCAAACCTTTTAATGGCTTTTTTTATTACCGGTAAAATAATCCTCCTGACTGAGATGTTGGGAAAACGTTCAAAGCTTGCAAATCTCATGTTTCTAACAGTCACTCCCATGCTTTTCGAGTGTTTTTCCAACATCCCATGAGTGTACTTATTGCGGTAGCAAGCCAATAATAAGGATTAAGGAGTGGTAGTACTGTAGTCAATGTAGCTGGTGTAGACTTATTTAGTAATAACAATAAACAATGCAACTTTGCTGTGTCTGTCGTCGTGCAGTTGTAACCCCGTTGTAATGATGATAATAATAATAATAATAATAATAATAATAATAATAATAATATAGTTATATTGGGCTTATTCATAAAAAGTCCACAAGCGCTTCGCATCAATGTCACTTAAAAAAATTAACTTTGAAATATATACAATCAAATGTGAAATATTTTTAAAATCCTAAAAATTACCTTAAAAGTTAAAATATAACTTACTTGAATAAAACCTAAAAAACTGATCTATTCTAATCTCAAAAGTCAATTTCCAACATACCCTTTTACGGTGAGGGCATGCTGGGTAATCAGGACAAGATAGTGGAAAAATCAAAAGTTTGTATGGGAATACAAAGTCATTTAATTCTTGCTAATTGAATATATACACTCTACGTCACTTTCCCTTTAAAAAATGTAACTAATGAGCTTAAAGAAACTACACACTAAATCTGGAGTGCATAGCAGTCCTTTGGTGCTTTTTAGGGAACCTGAGTCCTTCCATATACATTTTCTGTAATCCGAAAACACAAAAATTACAGAGAATGTATAAAGAGTGCTGTGCACTCCAAATTTAGTATACAGTTTCTGTAAGTCCATTAGTTAAAGTTTGCAAAGAGAAAGTGACGAATATATTCAATTAGGAAGAATTAGTTGCCTTTGAATGTCCATACAAACTTTTGAATTCCCCACCCTTGTCCTGAATACTCAGCATGCCCTCACAACCATAAAGGGGTCTATGTTAAAAAAACGTCTAAATTTATCTCGCGACAATATGCCTTTTATGAAAAGGACGGTTTTCAGGGTTCTTTAAAGCACCTAAGGAGTTGTCTCCCCCACCCTTTCCACAAAACCGGAGATCACCGTCAGATGAAAAACCGCTTTGCGCGCTTAAATGTCAGCTGATTTAGCGACAGCACGGGAACGTCGGTTGACAAAGGAAAAGCGCGCGGAAAGGACTACACGCAACTTCCGGTAGCCAATTTGTCGCTCTGCCATTGGTCAAGCCAGTTGTTTGATTAGCGCGCCGTCGTCAACAGACGTTCCCGTTTTGTTGCTGCAACGAAGGCCTGATTTCCATCTGTCTGAAAACGGCGATTTCAAAACATGGCGACAACTAATCACGCCTTGGCCTGAGACTGAACAGCAGACATTTCGCGATGCCACCACTGGCTTCCCTACGAAATGACGTCTGAGAAACGAGCGCAGAAATTCCATACTGATATCGTAGGCACTTCCCAGATCTGGATAGTGCTTCTCATTGGTTGAAGCAAATTTTCAGCCAATCAGAAACACTACCCAGATCTGGGTAGTGATACGTCATCAGTATGGAATTTCTGAGCTCGTTCCTCACATGTTATTTCGCAGCTAAATCGTTGGTAGCTGTTTTTTCACGACCTTATGGTGCCTAAATGTGCACAAAAAAAAAACGCCTGTGTAGAAGGGACCTCTAGATACCATAATTTGTTGCGACATCGTTTATTAAGACCCCTTTTCTTGTCTCGTTTCCTATGCGCCTTTTCTCTTCCAGGGAGGCACGATCATTTAAATTGGCTCCGGTTTAGGGTCTTTAAACAAAGGTTTTATTCTTATAAACTCGATGATGTTGACTTACTATGTAACCATTATACACTGAAAATAATTGTCGCAAGCGCGTGCAACGATTATGGGTATCATGAATAAGGTCTATAGAGAGGAGAAGTCGTTACGTCACGTTGCCATAGAAGCAAAATTTCTGGATGACAACAAATCAAAACGTCAGTTAAAAAGTGGATTCGCACTGTTTCAAACTTCATCGATCTCATTTAAGCTCATTTAATTTGTCAAATGTTGGCGAAATTTTCTAGGGTTAAATCCGAAAGGACCGTATCTAAGTTCAGAAAAAGAAAAAGAAAATTTTGTGCTGTGCTGACCTACTCGATAAAGCGGAAGAGTGAAATTAGGAAGAGCTTAGAACAGCGATGTATAAGCGCTATATAAATTCCATTATTATTATCATTAAATTAGGAGGTTTCATGTCGCAGTCGCTCAACAACGGCTAAGAAACGTAAAAAAAGGGTGATGCATGTGCAAAGTTTTTCTTTTGCCAATCTAAACCTATTGATTTTTTGCTGTTGCAAAACGTCTCTATTGCTGAGATCCAGAAAGTTTTGCTACCATAGTAACGTGACGTCGCACTTCTCCTCTCTATTGTATAAAGAGTTCATGATAGTTTAGATGATGCCAGCAGAGCCAATGCTGTTCACTGGTTAAGGGCGTTCAATCGTTCAATCGCGAACGCATTGGATACCTGCGTATTTAAAAGCAATCAACTGATTAAGATAGTCATCTGCAACCTCCGAAAAGATCCACTGCTCCTTGTCTAGTTGGTTTTGGATTCCCTTGCGACGTTTCAAATACACCCTTTCTCTCTCACCGTTTTTCTCTTTCATTCAATGAGGTGTACGGTAAAAACCCGCGAGCAAGAACCTACATTTTCCCAAGTTAGCCTAAACAGGTTCTTGAATAAATGGTATTAAATTAGAACAAATTTAGGCTATTTAGGTTGTTAAATATGTTCTTATTTTCTGAAGAAAAACTCATTGTTGCTAAGAGCATATGCATTTAGTGGTATTCAGGTTATTCCTCATTGTTGGTTTTCACGTGACGTCACTAAAATTCAAACTCAAAAACTATCGATCCTACCGAGATTTTACTTTTACGATGCATTAGAGCAGCTGAAAACTAATTTTCATACAAATTTACGCTTCAAAATGGTTCTTGGTTTTGTGATAGAGTACGCTTGAATTTCTAAGCTTTTGCGTGACGCGGCATTTACCAAGCTGTCATGTAGGTTAACAAAATGACTTAT